TGTGTTTGTTCATTTTATAGTTTTTTTGTTTTTTTTTTTTCACGAGTGTTGCATGGAATCACACACCACTGAATAATTTAAAGGATAACGCACTATATTTAGTTTCATATTTTTGAGGTATCCTGCATCTGGAGTGGTGAATTGATCTGGATATTTTCACACAATATTTGGAAGATTTAATTTTGTGGACACTTTGGACTCTAATTTTGGACATTTATTGCAGCAAGTTTTAGGGTATCTGATATAAGGTTTTGGAAAAAAGGTTTTTGATGCTCTTAGATTGTAAGCTCCCAGGATCAGGCCCTCCTAACCCTCTTGTATTGAACTGTATCGTTGCTATATTGTCTCCCGATATATTGTAAAGCGCTGAGCAAACTATTGGCGCTATATAAATCCTGTATAATAATAATAAAAATAGTGGCAGTGTGTGTCCGTCTGCCTTTAATTTGTGCAGGCTCTTGCCTGCGGCTGTACACAATCATCTATGATTCCTGGGCGCAGAAGTATGCTCTATGTGTGACTGGGGTCTAGGTGCTCATTCACGAGTGCTATGACTTGTACAATGTGAATCAGCAGTTTGTTTGCTGAAGCCACCTGGAGCTGCGTGCAGGCAGCTTATGTTACTCCATGGGGATGCAGCAGCTGTATGAACACAGCCGCAGGTCATAATTTGACAAGAATGAAGGTGTGGGTGCAGGGCCCTGACTGCAGACAGTGTGGATTCGGGGCCCCTTACCCTCACACGTCAAATTAGGACCTGTGGCTGTGTTCGTACAGCAGCTGCATCTCCATAGAGTACCATAGGCTGCCTGCACACAGCCACAGGCAGCTCCTGCCACATAAACCACTCATTGATCCCAGGTGTCTTACTTTTCAGACAGAGAAAAAGATATAGAACACAGATCTGCAATCTCCTTCTCTGCATTGAATGAACAAACAGGAAGCGCTGTCTACGGAGATTCCTGTTCATTCAGAAACTGAAAGCTTAGTAAACACAGATTACTATTCTTTAGCTATGAATTAACAGAGTAGTTAATTCATAACTGAAAAGAAGAGGTCAGTAAACATGACATGATTACCAGCAACCCACTCTCCATCCTGAAACCCATCCCCCTGTGCCAGCAGCAACTGTCAGCCGATTGAATTGAGAGTAGAACAAGCTGGCAGCTCTGTGGGGGAGGGGAGGGGAGCGCTGGGAATCGCATCTGCATGAGGATGTCAATGAGGGAGGGAGAAAATGTTAAATGTTAAGAGCGGTGGTGGTAACACCAGGGGGAGGCTCCCATTTTAGATGAATAGCTGCTGATAACAGCTATTATTTTGTTCAGCAGAGTCTGCTGAATGGTTCTGCTATAAGTTCATGGCCACTGAAGTCACCATATGATTATAACAGAAGGGGGAATACGAGCGATGTATGGCATACTGACCTGACCAGATGGAATTAGTTCTGCGTCATCGTATATCATACTTCGCTGGCAGCAAAAGGGTTGAAAAAGAATTACAACACAAAGTACTATAATGTTCAGATCCTAGCCCAGACCCTGTAACCATGGTTATTTGTTACTAATTTTTGCACTTTTATCTGCACCAATAGGTGGGATAATAACACAACTTCTGATGTACACATTGTCTGACTTACTGCTCATTAATGCTTAAAACGGTACTAAATTGCAGCTGTAAGCACTTCCATCTTTACCCGGTCTTCCTTCCGGGTTTGTGGGATATGAATAGCCGAGACGCGATGACGTCACTCCTCCGCATGCACATGGGAGTCACTGTTTAAGGCACAGGGCTCTGAAGGAACGTCACTGGCTAATTCTTTAGTAAATATATCCTAGACAGTGGACATGTAGAAGATATTTACTGTACCCTATATAGGCTTACCTACACGTAAAATCAACCAAGGGAGTTTATTCCCACTTTAATAATGAGGGGTACTTGTGTGGAATACAGGTGTCTGACCACCGCCCTCTTCACCAGCTTGTCACAAAGGACTGGTCAACCACACCCCACACTGTCACTTACGCAACAATGTCACTCTCGGCCCCACACTGCACAAAGATTTTCCAGGACCACAATCTAGGTGCCAACAGACTGAGAGTGATTGTAATGGGGGGGGGGGGGAGGGGTGTTGACAGAGACCATCTGACCAATCATCCAGTCTAAGGGATGTTTGCTGGGATGTCACCACTTTAATGACCAAGTACCCAGATACAGTTTTCTAGGAATATTAATATATTTGAATATCTGCAGGGTACAGTCGACTACCCTGCATATTATTGTCCAGCATGAAATTAGCTTCAAAATGGGTATAGATATGACAGGTTTTAGATATCTATTTCTCATAGCAGGGGTTTGGAGGCCTAATCCACTATGATACCTCATAGGAGTGTTTGAGTTCAAAATGCTACCCAATAACTGATGAAGGTGATTATGACTTTATTCTGGCTATACAGTCATCATTTCAGAAGTTATGAAATATAGTGGAATAATGATGGCTTCTACACAGATAAAAATATGTGTATTCTACAGACTGCCAACTAAGGTATTTATGACCCAATGTCTAATAACTCTCTAGTCACTGAAGAGGTTAAGTCACACGTTTACGGGCCCTGAGATGTGTATTTGGGGTTCGATTCTGCTAGTCCTGTTATTAGACTGATAAGGGGTGTCTGGCATCAGGTAACAGTTGTGTATTGTATAAACTGAAGGAAGGAGGTGGGGAAAGGTTAATGTGGCTATGCCTTCTTATGACAAAATGGCATGGGAGACTTGCGACATGAGCAAAATGGCTCCTACACACACACACAGCTATTCGGGTGCCAGGTACTCACGACCATTACAGTACTTTCACCGCGAAGCTACGCGTCTGTATTTTTATGTGCAAATTACTAATAAACTGTTTTGAAAATTTAAAAAAAAAATAAATCCAAGGCACTGGTTTCTCTGATGGCTATTCTCAGGAGATTTGGAGTGTGATTTGGTGATGTCACTACACTGCTGCTCATTGTTTTCCTTGCTGTAGTGGGATCAAAGCTAATACTGGTGACTAGTCCTTTGCCCTCTGTGACCATCATCATCACAATGTGAGAGTTACATAGACATACCCCACTAAAAGGAAAAAATGGAAGTTATTAGGTCATATAGGTTATCTTCAAAATATCTGTATACAAACGTGGTCAATTGTCTGTTTGCTAATTAAGAATTGTTTGTTTTCGGCCCTGTTCACACCTGGCGATTTGGGATCACAGGCAAGAATCGCCACAACCCCGAATTGCACTGCAATCATGGCAACACACAGCATGCGTGTTTGTGTGCCATTCATTTTTAATGGCACCTCTGATCTAACATGGTGCGGTTTTGCCATTATTGTAGCATGGCAAACCTCATCGTGGTAAGCTTGTTGACCAAAAAGGTGTAGAAGTTTATTTTGGGAAACATTCGTGGCAAAACCGCAGCGTGCTTGAGGTACCATTAAAAATGAATGGCACACAAGCACGCGTAACGCATTTTGCCCAGACTGCAGTTCAATTAGGGAACAATCCGTCTGTGATCCCAAATCGCCACTTGTGAACGGGGTCTTATCCTCCAAGTGGAAGTCCAGTCAAATCCTAACTATGTTGTATACTTAACCGCAACCCGTCCGGCCCATGTATATAAATGGCCGGACGAGAGCAGTGCAGGGGCAGGTTGCAGTTCATAAACGGTGCCCTCCATTTTAGCCTGTGCGCGCTTTCTGGGAGCGCGAGGCACCATGATCCGGTGCCCGCGGTGTCCAGAGGACACTGTACAGGACCTCTGTGTGAGGTCCCGATCATATGATCACATGAATAGTAGTAAGCAAGATGTCACTTCTGACATCATTGCTTACTACGTGTGTAATCTGTGAATGATCACAGAGGTCACATGGTACAAGGCTATTCAGAACAGCCTTGTACCATGTGACAAGCTGTGACCAATCACAGCTCTCACAGTAATGCAGCCAGAGAGAAAGAGAAATGATTGCTTTTACAGCCTTTATGGGTGTAAAAGCAATCAGTGTAAAAAAATAAATAAAATCTACATCACCCCCCACAAGTAGTACAGTGTCACTATGGTGACACTGAACTGCTAGGGTGACAGTATGTTTAAAAAAAAAAAACATAAACAATAATATAAAAACATAAAATGAAAATGTAAAAAAAAAAATTTAAAAAATTATAATTTTTGGTTATAAACTAATTTGGGTTATTTTTTTTTACTAAAAAGATAACTGAATACATTTTGGCCAAGATTTATGAAGAAAGATTATTTATTTGCAAAATTTTATAAGAAAAACACTTTTTTTCTAAATTTTTGGACTTTTCATTTATATAGCAAAAAAATTAAAATCCCAGTGGTGAATAAATACCACCAAAATCAAGTTTTATCTGTCTCAAAAAAATGCTAAAAAATTCATATCGGTACAGTGTTGCATGACCGCGCAATTGTCATTCACAGTGTGATAGCACTGAAAGCTGAAAAGTGGCCTGGACAGGAAGGGGGTGAAAGTGTCCGGAATTGAAGTGGTTAAACCTTCTCCAACCCCCATTCTAAGTCTATTCTAAGTACCCTGTAACGGAGAGATGTCTATACTTACCTATTGTGAAGGCACTCCGGTCCAGTCACATGATCTCTCCAGTGACCAGCTTCAATGAAGAGGAGAGATCGCTGACAATGGCTGCAGAGCCTGGGCAATGATATCTCCCATACATATACTATAGGGCATCCATTGTTGGCTGTCCCTCCTCTACACTGAAGCTGGCACTGGGTGCTGATCATGTGACTGGACCAGAGCGCCCTCAGCATAGGCAAATATAGACATTTGTGCTTTACAGGGTAATTAGAATAGGCTTAGGGTGGGAGCACATTTAAGGATAGTTAGGATTTGATTGGACTAATATTATTTTTCTAATTCTTGTCTTTTTTATCTGTTTGTATATTAGGAATGGCTGTTTTAATTTGAATTTTTTTTTTTAAAGGAGGACCCCCACCAGCACAGGCTGCTCAGCGACAAGGAGGTCCTCCACCCCCAGCAGAGACCTCCACCTCAAGGACAACAGCTTCAAGGTCTTGGTCCTCAGCCATCACAGCATTCACCAAATCTTCCAAGCCCTGGTGCACAACAACGGCAGATGATTTCTCAGCAACAACAGCAGCCACAACAACAGCAGCAGCCACAGCAGATGAGGCCACAGCAGGGATCTCCCCGTCAATCTCAGTCCCCTCAAAGGCAACCAAGCCCTCAAAGTGCGCAGTCACCCCAACGTCAGCAGCAAGCACCTCCTATGCCAACAGGCCCAAAGCCAATGGGTGTCCAGGCTCCTCAACCCCGCCAACCTGGCCCTCCAAGACAGCCAGTCCCTGGAGGCCCTCAGCAGAAGCCACCACCACCAATGCATCAACAGCAACATGGCATCCGCCAGCCAGGACAGCAGCCACCACCCCAGCAACGCCCATCAGGACCCGGTGGTCCCCAGCAACAGCTTCCTCAACAGCAGCCTCCACAGCAACAGCCACCACACCAGCAACAACCGCCACAGCGACCCATGACCCAGCAACCCAGGCCCAACCCACAGGGACCTGGGCAGGGTGCGGCACGTCCTGGTGGGCCACAAAAGCCTCAGGTGGCTCAGAAGCCTGGCCAAGAGCTGCCCCCACCCCAGCCGCAGCTTAAGTAAGAGCCCTTGAGGTTCTGGGTGGGCCACACAGGTTTCAGCTTCACGTACTACCTTTTGCATCCCTTTGTTGCATGCCGCTTAGGTAAGGTAGACACAGCTTTTTGTCAAAGACTGGACCACCATGTGGTTTTGCTCATGGTCTTGTGTACACTTATAGCTTGGATCCTGTTGGGTCATGTGGGCAGTTCTCCTTCCCAGGTGGCACGGGGTGCCTAGAACAGTCAGGGTTCATATTAAGACACAAGGTATAGCCATTGCTGTCTGGTGGGTTCAGTTGATTTCCTGAGGTTGACTGTGTTCTGTGATTTATACCTCCTCTCCTTTTCAAGACCTGTAGATGGTGTCTGAGACTTGTGGATATTTAAGTGTGGATGATTATTAATGCATGACTTTAACTGACCATTATTTCTCTCTCCCCCTTCCTTAAACATCCCTTCTCTTCCCACCTCCGACAAACCAACATATATAACACATCTTCCCTATATCTTGTGTCCCATTGTCCTCATCTCTTGCACATTCTGTTTTCCTGATTCTACTCTTTTCTGTGCTATTTTCAACTTTTTTTTCCTGCCTAAACCCATTTTGTTGCCCATTCTTCTCAATAAAACAAATTTCTCTCTTTTCATATTGCTATCTCCACTTCTTTTGCATTTTGCCACCATTCCTTCCCACCACCACCACACCATCACTGGTCATTGTTCTTCAGTAAGTCCCAGTCCCTCACCAACTCCTTCACCCTTGCAGACTCACCAGCTCCACGCTCCAGTCTTAGTCACGACGAGGTGAAGGCCGAAACGATCCGCAACCTGAGGAAATCCTTCGCCAGTCTCTTCTCAGACTGAAGGGGTCCTACTGGGAAAATAATCCCTTCTGAAAAAAAACTACCACCACATCCCACTTCTACCACCCAGCATTGCGGTTGTGTGCATCACCCCTGCTCCCTCACCTGTAATGCACGGCTTAATCTACTCCTGACAAAATGCCAATGAAGAGGTAGATATGGAGAAGAGACCAATCATTAAAAAAAACACAGGAGGAAGAGAGAACTCTAGAGGCTTATAGACCATATATATATATATATATAAATAATTTATACATATATATTATCAAATTCCAGAGCAATGATAGATTTTTTTTTGGTCTTCCCAGACTGTCAAATATGATGAATGAGTTGAGGGCTGCCACATAGGTGTGATATTAGGACGTGCCATCAAGATGACCCTCTACGAGGGACACTCGTTAGGGCCCGTGATTGTGTGCACAAGTCCTACATGTGCCAGTCCTCTGTGTATATATATGTATACAAAATATATATTCATGGATAGCGGTATATATCAGAAGCTGTAGCGGTAATTTTTTATGTTTGTTTGTTCTCTCTATGACACTGTCACTTCTCTATGCTCTCCTTCCAGCCTCTCTCAGTATCTACTCTCCTGGTTCTGTCTTAAGGCTCTGTTCTTTTGACACGTGATGTGTTGCCGTGTACATTTACCGTGGTCCGATTCCCATTTATATTTTGTTGACATCTTTAATGAAGTGTCCCAGCTTTCCTCTCCGTTTTCCCAACCTCTTCTGTCTTTATACTTCCCCATCCCACAAAATAACCTGGCTGATGACCCCCTTTCCATCCCCACTTTTCCGCTTTGTGTTCCCATCCATTCCAAGTCTATTTTTGTGTGGCAGTAACACTATTGTAATGTGTGTAACTTAAAAGCTTGCTGTGTGGTACTATCGTGACCTGGTCGTTAGTGAGCAAAAACAATGTTCTAAGTATTCAGAGTTTAAAGAAAAAAAAAAAGATATATTATATTATGACTATATGAAATAATTTATTCTATTGCCTGTGCGGAGCAGGCCCCATGAGAAGTGTGTGTACTGTTTGTCAGCGTTTGTGTGAAAATGTGACAGCCCCAAAGGGGCAAGAAAACGTGATTTGTCCAAATAAAATAATTCTCTGGAAGCAAAAATGTTTGCACTTTGCCATGTCTGGGTGGTGGGGCATTACCGACTGGTGTGGATATCTATAAACTACAAGTCTGAGCATCACCTAGCATGTAGCAGAACGCAAATTTGTGATTTAAATGGACACTGCATTGTGTTTCCAGTAAGAACACATTTCACACATCTACAGTTGTGTTCAAAATAATAGCAGTCAGACATCACTAACCTGATCAGTCACTGTTTTTGGTAGAAATGATATTTCTTCATGGCAAATAATTTACTAGCAGGTGTAGTAGAGTAATAGAGATCCAACAGACCCAACAGTCATGACACGCATGCTGCTGATTCTGTGTACTTGAATCACTAATTGAAAGGGGCATGTTCAAAATAATAGCAGTGTGGAGTTCTATTAGTGAGGTCATTCATTCTTTGAAAAACAGGTGGCAATTATTGCCCTTATTTAAGGAAGGAAGGCAGCAAATGTTGTACATGCTGGTTACAGTGCATTTCTCTCTGAAATTCTGAGGAAAATGGGTCGTTCCAGACATTGTTCAGAAGAACAGCGTACCTTGATTAAAAAGTTGATTGGAGAGGGGAAAACATATAAAAAAAGTGCAGAAAATGATAGGCTGCTCAGCTAAAATGATCGTAAATGCTTTAAAATGGCAACCAAAACCTGAAAGACGTGGAAGAAAGTGAAAAACTACCATTCGAATGGATAGAAGAATAGCCAAAATGGCAAGGACTCAGCCAACAATCAGCTCCAGGAAGATCAAAGAAGGTGTAAAGTTACCTGTGAGTACTGTTACAATTAGAAGACGCCTATGTGAAGCCAAGCTATCTGCAAGAAGCCCCCGCAAAGTCCCACTGTTGAGAAATAGACGTGCTGAAGAGGTTACAATTTGTCAAAGAGCACATTGACTGGCCTAAAGAGAAATGGCGCAACATTTTGTGGACTGATGAAAGTAAGATTGTTCTTTTTGGGTCTAGTGGCCGGAGACAGTTTGTCAGACGACCCCCAAACACTGAATTCAAGCCACAGTACACTGTGAAGACAGTGAAGCATGGTTGTGCAAGCATCATGATATGGGGATGTTTCTCATACTACGGTGTTGGGCCTATTTATCGCATACCAGGGATCATGGATCAGTTTGAATACATCAGAATACTTGAAGAGTTCATGCTGCCTTATGCTGAAGAGGAAATACCCTTGAAATGGGTGTTCCAACAAGACAACGACCCCAAACACACCAGTAAACGTGCAACATCTTGGTTCCAGACCAACAAGATTGACGTTATGGAGTGGCCAGCCCAATCCCTGGATCTTAATCCAATAGAAAACTTGTGGGGTGACATCAAAAATGCAGTTTCTGAGGCAAAACCAAGAAATAGAGAAGAACTCTGGAATGTAGTCCAATCATCCTGGGCTGGAATACCTGTTCACAGGTGCCAGAAGTTGGGTGACTCCATGCAACACAGATGTACAGCAGTTCTCAGAAACAGTGCTTATACAACTAAATATTAATTAAGTGATTCAAAGGAAAGCAAAATCTTCAAACATTTGTCAGTTTATATAGTGAATGTTTGAGTTTGTAAAGAAGAATACAAACACTGCTATTTTTTTGAACAGTCTAATATTCACTTTTCTTCAATTTTTTTAGAGGAACAACACAAATTTGATATATTTTTCTTCATGTTTTGATTTGGAATAGAATGTGTAGTGTTCCCAATGCATTTGTGTGTATGGAAATAAAAGCTATTAGAAGGATTTTGAGCTTTATTCACTTTTTTCAACACACTGCTATTATTTTGAACACAACTGTATATGAAAGTATTATTTGTTACAAGTATCACATTTTACTTGCTTGCTGTAATTTTGATTGTTGTACAACATTATAACTTGTAAAGACTCCCATTCCTGCTTAAACATACGCTTTGATCAAAACCTAAAATGAAGCCTTGAAATCCTTACAGGCAACACAGCTTCTCATTATTTAGTAGTTTTTCACTACAACATTGCCTTAGCACATCAGTCCACCCACCTCCCTTTTGTCAGTATTATAATGATCTTAGAACCCCCGATGCAGGAAAACTGTTCCCAAACCACCCACACAGACTTCTTGCTGTGCCTTCTTTTGGAAAGGCTGGTGTATCAGTATGTCAGCATTACGGCCTCCTGCACCACTATTAAGGGCAGTTGACGTTTTATTCTGCCTCTAAACACTCCCTCTGGGTTAGCCTATGTGTCCTTTCACATGATATTTAGAATTGCATGCAAAAAGACAAAGAAAGGGCGCACAGGCCTAGTGCATTACCTTTAAAAATTGGTTTAATGTAAAAAAAAGGAATATACTGAAAAAGGAATAAAAGTCAAAGGCACATCATAAGAAATACAGCAAGGTCCAATCTCCCTGGATAGTGTCTTGTCGGGGACTATAGACCACCAAACTGACGCGTTTCGAGGCAATGCCTCTTCCTCAGAGCTGATCAGGTAATGCACTAGACCGGTGCGCCCTCTGTTTGTCTTTTTGCATGATTCCTCTGGTCCGTTGAGGGCAGAAAGGCGTGCATTCCATAGGCTATCCATTTATGGTTACAGTCATTGCGGAGTCCATTGTCCAGTACAGGAGTATAAGCATTTGCTCATTTTTCTTCACATAGCATTTAGAAGCAGAGAAATAAAAACCTCAGAGCCGGCGCATTGAGCAGAGTGGAGTGTTTTGGTAGAAAAAATGTCCAATGTGCCTAAACACCAACGCTACATGCGTTTAGTGCTTGAGCATTCTTTCATTTCAAATACCAGAAATATAATAATATTCTGACCAATTAAATGAATGATCAATAGTCCATCACCATTGTGTCACATATGTGAAGATTTCTATAAACTTCCCAAAATTTTGTGCTGTGTCTCCAGTCACCCAGTGCAATATATCTGCTCACCTCCAAATGTGGACCCCAATATCATATCAAGGTCATAAAAAGTTAAATCATCAACACCAAGGGGATGTCTCGTCCAACATTTTCTGTATTTTCCTCCTCCCCCTGCAGCTCCACGCTCACAGGTAAGGATACATGCAAACACAAAATAAAAATAATTTGTGTTATCTGTATAAAAGAATATATTCATACAGTTGCCAAAAACACACAATGACAGACTTAAATGTTTATAGATGTATATTCCTCCATCCATAGTCCACACTATTCCCACTGTGCATACAGGCTAATCAGTGCAATTAATCTGCTCACCTCTCAATGTGAACCCCAATATAATCGGGGTCAAACTGATACATGATTATTCCATCCAAGGAATGTGTTATTCCATCCTGGACAGTATTTCCTCCACTCCACTTAAACACTCCCCTCCTTCAGCTGCTGGACAATCACAGCCAACGTAACGTGTGAACGCAAAAATGGGACTGATAGTGTGCTCTGTAAAAAAACATATTTTATTAAAATCACCAATAAAAACACTCACATTCCAAGAGCACAACCAGTGCTAAGTAAGCTCTTCACAATGAATACATGAACTCGCCAATAACTCGTACACATACAACCTTCACTTACAGCATGCTTGCCGTCTGTTACACAGCAAATAATCATAGGTACACACAAAACAATCAGGACACAAGAAACAGCTGAAAAGAGCAGGCTTTTCAGATATCGTGTTCCTCACAGCGCCAATCAGTACACTCTGGAGCAATAGGAGATCATGGGGCCCCTGTGTCCTTGCCCACACTCAAAAAAGCCTATAAAAAAGGTACCAGGGGCATTTCATGGGGCCCCCTACTGACCCCGGGCCCTCGGGCACTGCCCGAGTGCTCGAATGGTCAGTCCGCCCCTGCTCTGGAATCAAGTACACTGGCACACAGACTTTTGCAGATCACACACCGCTCTTGCCAGG